ATACATAAATTACTCAATAGTGATTCATTACATGTCCTGAGTACATTCACTACTCAACAGTGATTCATTGCATCTCCTGAATACATTCATAACTCAACAGTGATTCATTACACATCCTGAGTACATTCATAACTCAACAGTGATTCATTACACATCCTGAGTACATTCATAACTCAACAGTGATTCATTACATCTCCTAAGTACATTCATAACTCAACAGTGATTCATTACACATCCTAAGTACATTCATAACTCAACAGTGATTCATTTTATCTCCCAGGTAACATAAAGCCCAGGATATGACAACAAGGAAACAGAGAGAGAGAGGAGCGACAACATCATTACTCAAGGTTATTTCTCCCTGGCCTTGTGTTCCAGGTGTTGGTGTGTTGTCACGATGAATAAAAAAAAAAAAAAATACCAGAATAAAAATGGGACAAACAAGAAAATATAAATAAACAAGGAAATAAAAGAGATCCATGAAGGCAAGATGCACACGAAGAAGCAAAGGTCGGCAACATAGACACAAGGGAGGAAGAGGTAACAGGGTCATTAAAATAATATCCTCTGGTGCACTAACATCATCTACCTGGGACACATGCACAACAGTTGAGAGAAAGCATTTACAAACAACTTCACTGTATTTATTTACATTACGATAGTGACTATTTACCACAATTCTCGGCAAACGTCGTCCAGTTCATCAGCAACAAGAACAATATTCAGGAATGATCGATGAGTAGACATGGTGTGTAAACTTAGGAATTACTTGTATGCCATCAAGTTCTTGTATTATATGGATTATTAGATAAGCTAACATAATCAACAAACTATTACAGGTAAGGACAAGAGTAACAAGATGTACAGGTGAGTGGCAGTGGTGGACAGTGTCAGTAATAGGAAGTACAGGTGGGCAGTAGTGGTGGACAGTGTCAATAATGGAGTCTGAAGGGAGAAGTGTAAGAAGGAAGAAACATATACGTACAATAATGTGATGTAACCAAAATATTTACACAAAATAAACGAAAATAAACTAAAATAAAATATATCACCAAGAAGAAAGATACACAATAAAACACTACACTGATGAGGATGTAATGAACTGAACACACTGGTCAACTCCAATCATGTGTTAAAGTTCTATATGTATTAAATCAGACAATATCCAAAAATTAAGATACAATATTAAAATTTGTAATGGTCAATAAAATCTCTAATTACAGTAGTGGATAGAATTTTGTCTTTGCTGTAATGGTGAAGTGTTTTCTCTCTACACTTAATAAAACAACCGACTATATATTAAAAATTCGTACAGGATAAACAAAGGAACGGTACAACTACAACAAGCTGCGACGTCACAAAAAAATGCAAATGAAAATAATGACTAAATACAGAAAAAGTTGAAGAAATAAAGATTTGATAATACAACTACCGGTAAATTATACACAATACACTTACTAAAGGAATCAAACACAGACTAGAAATCATATTCACTTATACTTATAAAGAGAGACACACCTACTTACATGACACTGAAAAGTAAACAAAAGACATATTTAAGTTTAACCCCCAAAAATAAAAACAAATCCTCAATACTGTCGTGATATTGTTTTGATATGACACAACTCTCTCCTCACCCCATCACAACTGAAGCAATCATAAAATTTTTCAAACCAGATGATGTATTGGTCATGGCAGAGACAACAGTAAGTAAATAATGCTTCTATAAAGTATAATTTTTCTACCGATTTGTGTTATTCTGTTATCTAAATCCAATATCAATTAGCCCGCCACAGTATTAGTCACTTCACTTCTGGGGGAATCCTACTGTACCTTCACCTGATGCCAGCTTCTAAGTTACTTTATGATGGAGTTACAGAAGCAGAGAATTACAGCAACTGTTTGATGGCTGTGTGAGTATTTCCAGGGATGATGTAGTTTTTGATGCAGTAAAGATCCCCCAAAAAATATGGATTGGTTGAAGAGAGAAGCACTGATAATGGGATGAGTGTGTGTGTGAAGGATGTACGAGGAAAGGAGAAGAGAGAGTGTACAAGGGGGGAGGAGTGCAGCAGGTGTGTTGAGAAGAAAGGTGGAACAGTGCTTTAAAGATAAATAAAGGAGGAAAGAAGAGGAAAAGAGAAGACAAACAGACATATGTAGTAAAAAAGGTGACCTGCATGCTGCTCTGTTTTAGCCAACCCCTCCGATGGGAGTTCCCGAACCCCTAGCAGTGTGAGGCGTCGATGATACATAGTACTGTAGTGTGTGATGATATTACAAGACAACTGCACCTTCACATCTTGTTAAGCAATATTTGGTGGTAAAAAATACAGGAATCAACAGACTCAATACTGATTTTGTTGCCTGTAATACATAATTTAGCACTCTGATGATAGGAACTGGTTTACAAGACACAGATATGACATCCATATTAAGGACAAAGTTTTGCTATTTTTTAAGTCATACAAGATAAGTGTATGAATATAAAAGAGTAATACAAGCCGTTGATCATTAACAGCAGAGAACAAGAGGCGAGACAGTGAGGTAGTCTACTGGTTATGTTTCTATGTGTTTGGTTTACACTAACATAACGTATTTCAACTTTCAATGCAACATATGTCAAACTGTGAAATATTATATGTATTACCATACAAGAGTAGAAGCCAACATTTTCTTTGTTTTTTCCATAAATATACCTAAACATGATGTACTTGTCCAGGCAGACATCAAGTAGTCCACAGTGTACAGAAGTAAGGGTGTAAACAGCTGATATTGTCAATGGAATATTTTTGTCACCATTTATACAGTATATAGTGTACATACAGTAGTGTTAAAGGAAATTATCAATAATGCCTTAATGATGCTTAAAGCCTCAGCCCAGGAGGGGGTATCAATAATAGGTATAGTAAGATGCGTGGCAGCCGGGGGAAGGGGTGGGGGATAAGATGAGTGTGACAATATGTATGGGAAGACGCTGTTGTCTGAAGCACATATGATCATTTATTTCAAGTAATGACATCATAATAGTGTAGACGACTGAGGACAGTAAGATGTACGAGTGAATGGTTATCTCATCATCTGGTAACACATAGACTGTACTGTACTGTACGACTAACCTATATATTATTATCACAAGATAAGATAAACTGCCACCCAAACTTGTCACTATCCTAGCATCTTGACAACACTCCTCATCATCATATTATTATTATTATTATTATTGTTATTTGTATTACCTATATTTTTACTATTATTACTGTATTATTAGTAGTGTTACCCATATCATTATTATTATTACTATTATCATTATTATTATTATTATCATCATCATTATTATTATTATTATTCATCAAAACACTTAAACGTCACTCAACAATATCTTCCCTTTAAGGCCCCACCAAGAGCGAGCAGAGCTAAGGAGCGGAGGAAACTACTGGGATAAAATACAATATAAAAATAACTAACAACAATCATTTAAGAGATGTATTTACAGTGTAGCTTTTAACAAAACATTCACCTGTCTTCAACTCAATAGAGATATTTTCTAGGCATTAATCTTTTGTTTTTCCATTCAATCATCAGGACCTTGACCATCATTACCATTATATTGACTTCTGAATAGTAATTACCATCTACCTGTATCAGTCCTCTACTGGGTTAGTATCAGCCTTATATACAGTACTTCAATGATCTGTGTGTCTCAAGGCTTCACTACCCACTCACTATCTCCACTTCCATACTTCCTAAATTTTATCGGACTATCTGGTAGTTGGGCTTTTTTTTTTCTAGGCCTTTTATTCTCAGGATTTAGTAGAGGCATCTTGGTCAATTGTTGGTCCATTAACACACACACACACATGAACCACCACCACCACATACTCTCCTGGATCTCTCTTTATTAAACCTCTAATCATTTATCCTGCCAAAATAATCCTCATTCTTTCTCTAGTAACTTCTCTTATAATCTCTACACATAACCAAATATATTTCTGTACAACTTTGCCTTCAAGATAAAAATTAATTAAACGTTTCCCATTCACTCATAAGTCTATTCCTTATTTCATTATACTGTACTGTGTTCCCTTTATAGTGAGTGTCTTGCCAGCTATTGCTTCATCCTCTCACCCTCACTCAGACCTTCCAATCTAACCAAGATACAAAACTTATATACAATACACCATTACTGCCTTCATAATAGCCACAAACAATGTACCAATAACATTATATAATAGTTTTAATGGTGTGTCAGCTGTCCCATGAAAATAGAAGCAGAAATAACAGGAGTCTTGAGGTTCATAATGTGTCTAATATATCTGATTTTGAAGTTATGACCTTGATCTGTGACACTTGATTATGATGTCCTACACTAAGCCTTGTGATGATGCAAATTTCATGTGAAGTTCCAACATTTCACACACACACACACACACACACACACACACACACACATGAGTTATGGCCCCAAACAAGGAAAAGTTTACAAATAATCATAAACACAGATGACAAACACATACAACAACACATCTATTACCAAATGGAATCAAAATAGTGATGATATTCCTATTTTATTCCCAATGTGAGATGATGTAATACTTTATGAAGTTACTACAGTTGATTCCATGCAAGAAACAGAATATGTGTGTGTGTTACTTCCCCCAGACAAATTAATTTCATTGTAACAGATTTACAAAGACCATTTTCCTTGTAGAATTTCAGATGCTTGTCAAACATTAATATATGATCACATAGCTGAATCAGACGCAGTAGACAGTTTTACAAGATGCTAAGTTTATGTAACCAACTGTAATAAATATAAGAGATTAAGAAAAGATAAATTTCTTTTGCCCTGAACCTTTGAAAAAATTTTATTCTTTATATTTATAGCGTGTAAATCTAATTAAAAAAAGTAACCTTATAGTTGTTACATTTGAAGCCGCTGAATACATCAATAAATAGTACGACCATTAAAACCTAGAGGGAGACAAGTCAATACTCACTGGGCTCGAGTCCGTCCACCTTGACCTTAGTGACGTCAATATTAGACTGCACGGGCACGGATATTGGCGACTGTGGGATCTGTGAGCCAGCATACAGCACGGTCACCCTATGATCCCCGGCAGACGGTGTGAGATACTCTACGGTGAACGTGCCATCGTGGTTGTCTTGTATGTCTATGGGGATGTCTTGACCTTGGGCATTTGTCAGGGCAATCTGTACTTCACCTGTTTAAACAAAAATAAAACGTCAGACTAAGGCAGGTGTTAAGAGAGGAGTAGTGGGGCAGGTGTTAGAGAGCAGTAGTGGGGCAGGTGTTAGAGAGGAGTAGTGGGGCAGGTGTTAAGAGAGCAGTAGTGGGGCAGGTGTTAAGAGAGAGTAGTGGTGGGCAGGTGTTAGAGAGCAGGTGGGGCAGGCCTGAGAGGAGTAGGGGCAGGTGTTGGGCAGAGCAGTAGTGGGGCAGGTGTTAGGGAGAGCAGCAGGGAGGCAGGTGTTAGATGAGCAGTAGGGAGGCAGGTGTTAGAGAGCAGCAGGAGGCAGGTGTTAGAGAGCAGCAGGAGGGCAGGCAGCAAAAGAGCAGTAGTGAGGCAGGTGTTAAAGAGCAGTAGTGGGGGCAGGTGTTAAGAGAGCAGTAGTGGGCAGGTGTTAAGAGAGCAGTAGTGGGGCAGGTGTTAAGAGAGCAGTAGTGGGGCAGGTGTTAGAGAGCAGAAAGGGAGGCAGGTGCAGGAGAGCAGTAGTGAGCAGGTGCTAGAGAGCAGTAGTGAGGCAGGTGTGCAGAGAACAGTAGTGGGGCAGGTGCTAGGGAGAGCAAAGGGTAAAGCAGGAGAGCAGTAGTGGGCAGGTGCAGAGAGCAGTTGGGGGCAGGTGTTAGGAGACAGAAGGGGGCAGGTGTTAAGAGGAGCAGGTGGGGCAGGTGTTAAGAGAGCAGTAGTGGGGCAGGTGTCAGGAGAGCAGCAGGGGCAGGTGTCAGAGAGCAGTAGTGGGGCAGGTGTTAGGAGAGCAGTAGTGGGGCAGGTGTTGTGGGAGAGAGCAGTAGTGGGGCAGGTGTTAGAGGAGCAGTAGGGGCAGGTGTTAGAGAGGAGTAGTGAGGCAGCAGAGAGCAGAAAGGGGTGGAGGTGTTAGGAGGAGCAGTAGTGGGGCAGGTGTTAAGAGAGCAGTAGGGGGCAGGTGTTAAGAGAGCAGTAGTGAGGCAGGTGTTAGCAGTAGGGGCAGGTGTTGGGACAGTAGTGGGGCAGTGGTGTTAAGAGAGCAGTAGTGGGGCAGGTGTTAGAGAGCAGTAGTGGGGCAGGTGTTAAGAGAGCAGTAGTGGGGCAGGTGTTAAGAGAGGAGTAGTGGGGCAGGTGTTAAGAGAGCAGTAGTGGGGCAGGTGTTAGAGAGCAGTAGTGGGGCAGGTGTTAGAGAGCAGTAGTGGGGCAGGTGTTAGAGAGCAGTAGTGAGGCAGGTGTTAGAGAGCAGTAGTGAGGCAGGTGTTAGAGAGCAGTAGCGGGTGTTGGGGAAAGATAAACAGATCGTCAGGCTAAACTGATCTTCAAAACTGTAAAACTAAATGATTAATCAAGTGGGTGATAACTCATTCAGGCACACAGCTGGCTCCAGGATGTCCTATATGAGTTCACATAAACAGATTCAATAATAGTTTCACTTGCTACATTTTGTTCAAGGAATCACCTCATGATTTGTCCTGCCACCTTATTTCACCTTTAGAATTAACCACCATAACACTAACCTAACCTAACCTAACACTAATCTAATCTAACCTAACACTAACCTAATCTAACACTAACCTAACACTAACCTAATCTAACCTAACACTAACCTAATCTAACCTAACACTAACCTAATCTAACCTAACACTAACCTAATCTAACACTAACCTAACACTAACCTAATCTAACCTAACCTAATCTAACCTAACACTAACCTAACACTAACCTAATCTAACTAACACCTAATCTAACACTAACTTAATCTAACCTAACACTAACCTAATCCTCCATGTAGCAATAGGGTGCCTAATCATCAGGT